AGCAGTGCGGTGGAAGTTGACTCAGCTCAAGCCAAGCCTGGACGGCTGTGGGAAGCCTACAAGCCAAGCAGAATTAAGAGAATTAAACAGCAACTAGCAAAACTTTTCTGCAGGGCAGTTAGTGCATCACTTAGAAGGCACACTCAGCTGGGTGCGCTCTGCAGCTCGCTTGCAGGAAAGCACTGAACAGGCTGGAAGAAAACGTCTCTGTGACCAAAGTCCTGAGCATGGGAGGGCAAGGATGGCCTCACCAGGATGCGAAGGGCTGGGGCTGACAGATGATCTTAGCATGCTGCCTTCTCCCAGCAGGATGATTCTAAGACTCTGGGATAGCCAAGTTGCCACTGAACGACAGGCATGTATCTGGGGTAGGCCAGGGGTTATTCTTTAAATAAAAAGCAGCACGTTTGCCTGGCTGGTTCTGCACAGCAGGGCTGCAGCAGCACTGGTTTTAACCACCTGCCCCACTACCTACAGGGCAATGCTTCATTACAGTGACAGAACCAGCTGCCTGCTCCGAGGGACTCAGAGCTCCTGAAAAATAAGTGTTTCACAGAACACAGCAACGATGGAGACACTTCAGGTACAACTCAAGCAAAGGCCACCTTGAGATGTGCTCTAATAGGAGCACCTTCAATCAAGTGCTGTAACCCTAAAGCCACAGGGAAAGCAGAGCCCTATTGGCCAAGGGAAGCCCTGCAGCTCTGACCCAGAACAGAGCAGTGCCTTTTCAGTGACTGCCCCAACACAGAGGGAACCTGGGGGAGGAGGACCCTCACACCCACCCCAGCACAAACCACCATCCCTGAAATCAAAGCATCCCATGATGGCAGAGAGCAATCATAAAACCACAGAGTCATAGAATGGCCTGGGTTGAAAAGGACCACAGTGACCATCTGGTTCCAACCCCCTGTCACCAACCAGCAGCCCAGGCTGCCCAGAGCCACATCCAGCCTGGCCTCGAATGCCTCCAGGGAGGGGGCATCCACAGCCTCCTTGGGCAACCTGTTGCAGTGATTGTGCTGACAGAATTGAGTTCTTGGGTTTTTTTAATGCCATGGCAACCAACTTCACGCAGCTCAAAACGAAATGAGACAGAAGATAAAAAACAAACAAACAAAAAAACCCAACAACTATTTTGAGGCAAGATTTCAAATGGAAAGACAATTACCCAGACCTTCTATTCATCCGGCTGGGGGCGGCTCTGGTTTGTTTGTTGGTTTTTTTTTTTTGTTTTTTTTTTTTTTAATTAGCAAGAATAACTGTAAGGCTTTTCCAAAAGCAATTGTACATTTTCCCAGGACCAAAACAGCCCGAGCCCACCAAGAAAACACTGTTCACCTGCAAGCAAGAGCCAGCAGCTCTGTGCCAGCAGAGGCAGCACAGCATCTGCCTGCAACACTTCCTTTAAAGTAGCCAAGTTTGGGCTGCACCAAGCTGCCTCTGTTGGTCCTCTCTGCGTCCCTGGAGGAGGCAGGCTTGGAAGATAACCCCCCTTTTATTAAGCCAAACATCCCAAACCTGTGTTGAACCAGCTAATACGAGCACAGGCGTGTCAAGGAAAGCACAGAACTGGCTCTGGGGGTTGCACCTCCCACTGTGCACGTCTCTGAGGAGCTGGCACTGTTCTGAGTGTCCCAGGTAGCTTCCACCTGCCATGAACCACCAGAAATCCTTCGTCACGTTCAGCGTGAGGCAGAGTGCCAGCTGGGGAGCCCCAGTACAGACACACACTGAGCATCCAGCCACAGTCCAACGGTTAATTCGATCTCTTAAAACCGTAACGCTTTCAGTTAGCTCAACTTCAGCTGCTGGAGCCATCCCATCCCTTTCTTCCTGGAGGATGTAAGAGCTTTTGAGCTCCCAGGGCGAGCGCAGCCAGCTTTGAGTCATCACCAGGTCAACAGCCCTTAGAAGAAAGGGACAGCGTAAGCACAGCCCTTGGCAAGGCTTAAGGTACATTTCCCAGGTTTCTGATCATTGCCTTAAAAAAAAATAAAATCCCTTTGCATGTTGCTGTCTGAACCCAACGGCGGTGCTGCAGGCACACAGAGCCTGCCCTGCATGCCAACCAGCAACAGGAACCAGAGCAGCCTGCTGCCTTGCCACGCGCTCACCTGAAGGCACCCGCAGGTCCTGCAGTGCCATCAGCACTGAGAGGGGTGGCTGCTCAGCAAACTGCTGATCTTCTCTGCCTGCCTTCCCTCCAAAGCCAGACACGTGCAGCACAATCTGCAGCCCTCCATTCCTTGCAGCTCCGGGCAGGGATCCTACCCTGATGCTTTCAATGGCGTAAGAGCCCAAAGTGATGCCAGTATCTGCTCACACATGAGCTCATGCAGCAGGCTGACTCAAACCAGCCTCCATTCAACCCAGCGCATCGCTGAGGTTAAACAAACAAACAAAGCTCACCAAGCAGCACAACCACGAGTTGCAGGCCGGCCTCCGAGCTCCGAGCTCCAGGCCAGGAGTGCGGAACAACAGACACAGAGGGCAGGAGCACACAGTGCACCACTTACAGCCACAGCACCCCCAAAGAGGCAAAGGCTCTGAGCAAGCACCACTGCTTGGCCTCCCCATCTCAGACTGCTCAGTGCATCCAGCTCCAACCATGCGTGGGCTCACAAGGAGACAAAGGTGCTCATGGCACACGCTGTCACGTCCCCAGGTGAGGCACTTCTCCCATCCCTAAGCCAACCCTCAGCATGGAGACAGAGGGGCTTCCCCCAGAAGCAGAACAGCCCCCCCCAGGAACAAAGGAGCAGGCAGCCAAAGCCTCCATCTCCAACCCCAACCCAACCACTGCTGTCTGAGCTCCAGGAAAACTCTGCAGCCTTCTCCCACGCTGCAATCACACCGATATCCATCTATTGGTACTGCAAAGTATTGTTATCACCAGCCCACAGAACTGCTTTAAACAAACCACAGCATCAAGTCAGGTCTGCTTAATCACTGAATTAAGACATGTTTTAACTGCAGAAATACATCTGCCAACAAACCAGCACAGCCCCCATGGTTAAGGTATTTCCGTACCTTCCTCAAAAATCAGCAACTCTGCCGTGCTCTAAATGCAAAGCCACCCTTAACCATGCACAGCATCTACCCAGCAAATGTGTTATTATTTCCTGGCGTTATCTGTATTACAACCACTGAGTTTAGTGGGCAGCACACAGCAGGGCTCCGAGCTGCAGCCTTCCTGCGCAGCAAAGTGGGCAGCAAGCAGAAGGGCTCCACAAAACTCTCTTCAAACACACCTCTGAGTACCAAGAGCACACTGCCCTTCTTCTGCCCTTTCCCTGCCTTCATAACATTCAGATTAAAAACAAAAAACAACGCTGATGACAAATTTCAACAAGCCCTGAAAAAGGAACATGGCCAGGGCTCAAATAACTTCCACTAGAAGAAAATGAGTGCATTTGGAACAACGTGATCACGGCACATTCACGCTGCTTACACCATCCTTCACCTACACCTCACGAACCCAAGGCTTCAAGCTGCTCCTTCCTGATTATTCTGATTTAAGAGTATCTCAGTATCGCACCGTGAAGAGGAAATAGAACCAACTGAGCTCTTAATAACGTTCCCAGCCTCAAACTCAAAGCTCCTCTGCTTTTGAGGAACTCCTCTTTCGAGGAGAAGTAAGATCATCGTAAGCGTTGGGCGGAAGCAGCCAAACCACAACCCAAACCCTCACCTGCTACCTGCAGCACAGCAGCACCCCAACGCTGCTCCCCTCAGCACCATCCCAACAGCATTCTGTACACACTGGCACTCGCCATCATTCTCCCCCATATTAAAACATGGCTGCTACTTTTTGAGTACCCTCCAAGCGAGCTGACAGATGTGCTGGGGTAGAAATGACAAGCTGTGGTGACAAGAGTGACAGCTGAAATGCCACCGATGTCCTCCAGCACTGCCTCCAGGCAATGGGATTCCGAGACACAGACCTGCCCCACATCACCCTGCACACAACCCAATGTTCACAACTCACTGCTTCTCTTCTGAAGAACCTGAACAGCAACACTTAGATGGCATAATTAGCTGGGTTCAGTTGTCCAGCAGCCCTCCAGGACACAACCATTAGGCTGGGACACAACCCCTTGGAGCAGCTGACAGTGGAGCAGCTGCTGAGCTCAAGCAAAGAAATCCCAACCCAAAATGACCCCATGGTGTCTCAACGCTGCCCAGGAAAGAATCCATCTTCAGCACTGGGTATTACAACCAGACAGGAGTGCGGCCAGCAAACCCCAGACACAGAGGCAGGCTTCGAGAGGGAAACCACAGAAAGGCACAACGTTTTGAAGCGCAGAGCGTTCATAAAGTGTGCACAACCAATGCATGGGGCGGTACTGGCTGCAAACAACACAACCACGCAACCCTGAGCCCATTCAACTTCATCAACAAGAACCATCCCAGCACAGAGCTGAGGAACTGCACCACCCGAAGGTCCAGCGTGCTAAAATGGCTGAAAACCAATAAACATTGCAAGAGAAGGGGGAAGGAGGGGGGAAAGAAGGGAGGAGCCACACGGCTGTGAAGAGAGGCTGCCTTGGTGGGCAGGCAGGGAGCCGCGAGCCCCCGGAGGGGTCCAAAGGGCCCGGGGGTGGGAGCAGCAGGAAGGGCGAGTTAGATGTACGGAAAACGCCGTGGTGCTTTGCAGCTGGAGCAGGCGCTGCACGAGGACTTCCTCAGCTCTGCTGCCAGCTATCCGAAATCACGGCGAGAAGTTGGATAAAACAACGAGTCCCCGGGGGGCGTCAGGCCGGAAACGGATCCCGGGAGGCAGCACCCCGTGCTCGGAGATACCCGCCGTCTGCAAGGAGGGCAGGGAAGCAAACGCGAGGTTCTCCGGACGGAGCGCAGCCCGGCAGGCCGCACGGCAGCGGCTCGGGGCGCCCCGCAGCCCCGCTCCGCACCCCGCCCCGCGGTGAGGCCGCGACTCCAGGCGCTGAGGGCGGACCCGGCCCCGCTCTTTGTTCGCCGTCGGGCCTCGCCCTCACCTCGCGGACGTCCTGCAGGCACTCGAGCACGGCCAGGTTGTTGGCCCAGCTGTGTTTGGAGCACAGCCGCACCACGTCCTCGCGGCACACCGCCTCTTCCGACAGCTTCCACCCGCCGCCGGAGCCGCCTCCGCCGCCTCGGGCTCCCCGCGGGCCCGCGGCACCGGGAGCCGCTCCCTGCGCGGGCTGCCCCGCCGCGTTCAAGCCGGGTCCGGCCTGCAGGCCGGCAGCGGGAGGCACGGCGAGCGCCGGCCGCGCCGCCAGCGCCAGCAGCAGGAGGAGCGCGGGGCCCGGGCAGCGGCTCCGGACACGTCCGCACGGCGCCATCTTGGATCCCCCACCTCCGGCGCGCCCGCCCCGCCGCACGCACGCCGTGTGCAAAGCAGCGCGCCGTCTGACGTCACCGCGGAGAACCCCGCCCCTCGGCGCCGGAGGTGGGCGGGGCGATGCGAGACCACGCCCCCTCGCCCATCCAGCGCCCCCTTTCAGCCACGCCCCCTCGCGACCACCCCTGTGGGGTCCGGGCGCCATTTTGGGCCGGGGTGCCATTGGGGCACGGCTTCCTTCGTGGTCCGTCGTGACAGCCATCATCGCAGCCCCGGTCGTCTCCACAGCAATATCCCCTGTCACGGGCTCTACACTGTCAGCATCATGTCTTCACAGCCCCCATAGTTTGGGTTAGAAGGGGCCTTTAAGACCATCCAGCCCCAATCCCCCATATTATTTCCTGGCATTATTTGTATTATAACCCCTGAGCTGCCACAGCCACGAGCTCCTGCTTGGGCATCCTCCTTCATGTACGAACTGGTGCTGCTGGCAGCCGGCGCAGGGAGCAGCGCTTGGGCACGCAGCTGTCCCACGCTGGGCATCCAACTTTTGTCCCAGTCTTTGCTTCAAATCTCTTTGTGCATCAGTTCTCATCTGGGGAACGGGGACAACGCCGCTCTCCTTAGAGGCGTAATGCTAAGACTTGCTGAAGTGGGAGAGGCTCACGGCTGTGCCATTGGAGAACATAAGAAACCCTAAGGGAAAGTGAATGTGGCTGGTGTGCAGCATAGAAAACTTAAGGCCGAAAACTGAACAACGAAGAAAAAAAAAATCCAAATACCAAAGAACTGAGCATTGAACGTCATGTGCAAGCAGGATGCTCAGTGCACGTGGGCTCACGGCAACTCGTGGCATCCTGCATCAGGGTTAGGTGACTGGGCCAGACGCCTGCCTTGCACTGCAGGACCCCTGGTTCCATGGCGTTTTACTCCAGGCTTTCTTCACAGGGACAGATAGAAACAGGCGCTGCTGTGAGAGCTGTCACCTACCCACCTACAGCGGGTGAGATGTGCCAAGCTCTGTAAAGGCTTCTGGGGGTGATGCTAGAGCCAGAGAGATTTGCTCAACAGCACAGCAGTGAAAGATATACAAAAGGAGCATCTCCACCCCAACTGCACGTGTTGGGTCAAGCAAAGGAGGCTAGGTGAAAAAATAAAGGAATAGAGCATACAGAGAGACAGCGGTTGTGTCCTCACAGAGGGGAGAAAGAAAGAAATAGCAGCAAGATACAATTAAATAGGGGTCAGAAAGGAGCGATCACAGAGAACACGCTTCTCACACTGCAAGCTCATGGAAGAGCCAGGTAGGTTTCTGCCTGACAGGCTCCCCAGGAGCAATGTTTGGTACCGCCACAGCTCCCTCCTCCCTGGGAGCCAGACCTCAGCATCTCGCACTAAGGAAGTCGGTCCAGTTTGAGTTGTACTGCTTCAGCAAACTCCAAATCTCACCCTCAGCACTGCAGCAGCAGATGGCAGAGCCCTGGCGGTCACCCTGCACAGCGTGTGCTCCTGGAGAGTGCAGGCAGACCTTCAGCAGCCCCAGGCAGCCCCACCTGGGTTTGCATGCAGGCAGAGACCATGGCGTGAAGGGAGATGGATGAGCTGGCAAAGTCCCCGTGCTTCTTGCATTCGCTGCCGGGAAAGCAGTGCTTGGGAGGGATGCTTCGTGCTGGCACCCAGCAGCTGCGCAGCTGGAAACACTTAGAGACAAAAGCCAGCAAAAATCCACCCAGCACTTGGCAGCGGATCTGGTTTATGGGAAACGATTGGAAAGGCCGAGCGTGAGAGCTGGCTCTGCTCCTCCTCCTACAGCAGGACCAGGAGGAGAGGAGCAGCAGAGGCAGTGCAGAGCTTCCAGCTCCTTCCCCAACCTCAGCTGCCCTTTTTTCCAGGAGCAGCAGCACCCCCGCCTCCCTCTGTTGAGCTCTCTGCACTCCTGGGAAAGTCCTGCTCCAACTTTGGGCTGTAACATCCTGATAGCTCATCCCCAAACACACATTTCATAAAGAAGAGCCTCACACGCTGTGTCCACACCACAAGTTCAACAAGGAAGAGAGATTTCTTTGTGCACAGCGACATCTCTGCCTGGGCAGTAACCCCAACAGCTCAGCACAATGCAGCATCCTCACTCTGCGGCTCATCACATGATGGGGAAGAAAACTTGTCCTGGGCAGGGCAGATGCTCCAGTTTCTAACTGGACACAGACTGCTTGTCCCACATGGCCGAGGGGCACTGTGCTGAATTTTGGCTCAGCTGCCAAGGCTCTGTCCCTTGCACAGCCCAGGACTTCAGTGCTGCCTCTACACCCGTTGTCCATCTCTGCTGATGAAGGCTGGTGCTTCACTTCCACTTCGCCTCCACTTATCTCCCGGGCCACAGCTTCGCATCTTCGCTCATCTGTGCATGGAAATAAGCAGAGCACGGCAGTGCCCAGATTCCAAGGAGGCTGGGGACAAAACAGGAGACTGCATCCCTTGGGTGACGGTGAGCCTCTGCCTCACGCTCACACTTAAAGGAAAAAAAACAAAAGGCAATTTCCCCCTGATGAGCCACAGTTCTTCCCCAGCCTTCTGCTGCCTCCCTGAGCCCTCACCGCTGCTCCCAGCTCGATGCCATCTCCAGCACGGTGGGCAGACTCCCCATCCGCCGCCAGCGGAAGCAAAACCAGCCCCTGGGGACTCTGCAATTCATTACGCTTCAGCAGGTGGGATAATCACCGAGATGAGGCTGAGGCACTTCCCCTCCTGCACAGCACTGCCCAGGCACAGCCTGTTACCTGCTGGGTTCATCCCGAGGTCACTCTGAGCATTAGAGCAGCACGGCAGGCGTAGCTCTGCCCGACCTCCTCCATTTTTCACTACTCAGGGGCACCGTTTGCCAAGAGACGGGACTGCAGCGCTGTCCCACTTCCCCTCAGTGCTCCCCAACACCGCTGCAGCTCCGAGAACTCAGCAGTGCTCTGCGCCCAGGTTCCCTGCAGCATCTGAGCCCACAGCTCACTGCCATCCAAACACAGCTGGGCTCTTTGAGCAAAGACGAGTGAACTGAGCAAGAGGCGCTGCTGCCTCTTCAGTATTTGCCCCTAAAAATCTTTATCTCGAAAGGAGAGAAGAGTTAAAATGAGGAGCGGTGCTCCTCCTCGGCAGCCTGCAGCGCACGCAGCCAACAGGGAAGCCCCACCTGCAGAGAGCAGAGCTCACCTCTTGCCTCCCATCACATTTACTCCAGGAGCTGCCACAGGGCTGCCTTGCTCCAAATCTTCCCAGAGACAGAAGCAGAAATAGCCACGCAGCAGCTCCCTGCCTCCAGCCCTAATGACAGCTGCCCTGCGTACTGCAGACGGATTTTTCTTCTCCCTATCCCAGAATCTGCCCCTTTGACTCCAGGCAAGATGAGCACCTGTTTCATTAACACATCTGACCTTCCCCCAGCCCTCAGTGCAGCTTTCTGCATGCAGTTTAGGTGCTCTTTGCCAAAGCTCACTGTGAACCTGTGACAGCAACGTGTGAGGTTCTTATCTTTGAAAGATTCTGCCAAACTCTGGGATTGAACAGAACATCAAAATGCTGTTCTCCTTTCATTTATTTCAACAGAATTTAATTTGTTAATACCATCCTGCAGGAATGAAGACAATAGAAAATAATTGCTACCTAGAAAATCAGAAGATGGGAAATCTTAATTCCTTTCTTCCTGCGTGCATATGAAGATTTTTGGGGGGAGGATGGAAGGCTCTGTGCCCGCTGAAAGCCATTATTTCAGTCCGAAGCGCAGTGCAAAACATGAGAAAGCTTACCTGCAAACAGGGCTGCTCACTCACAGCCCCAAGACAAGCAGCACACGCTGCTGAGGTGCTTCTAAGGCACAGCAGCACCGACTGCATTTGGTAACTATAAACACTTTATTTTTACAGCATAGAAAAATAAAATAATATACACCCATTTATAAAGTTAAGCAGAGATCTCAGCTAACTCCAGCAGGATCCTACCTTGCACGTCCCAGAAAACAAAGCCGTTCTGGCAGCAGGCTCCACACGCCCAGCACAGATGCTGCTGCCACAGTGCTGCACCCAGGGACACGGTGCCAACGCGGGGCCTCACCCTGTGGCTTCTTTAACATCCTCACAGCTTTGTTTTTGATAAACAAAAGGAAACCAAAGTCCTGTTCCGTGATTTGATTTGGAAATGGGCGTTCTCATACCCTGCAGCATATTCACAGTATGGATGTCAAGACTCAACTGCAGCAGCCGGGGCTGATCCCCATGGGCAGCCCCACTGATGCCCACAGGAGAAGAGCCAGCATTCTCCCCCACTGTAGGGGCTGTTGCAGTGCATCAGTACTTCAAGGAAGGACACACAGACTGCAGCAGCCAGCAGTACAGCTATCCCCCACACCCCCTGCCTTTCTATGAGCTTCCCTTTTCCACAACCACACTGCCCACGTTTGCTTGGACGTCGGTGGCAGGTGAAGGAGGAAGACAGAGAGAGATGGAAACAGGGTTAGGCAACTACAGTGCCAAAAAGATACATATATATAAATATGCTCACAGGGAGAGATAACAAAAAACTACAGATTTTTCAAGCCTGCTCTCTTCATGGCCACAACACGGGGTCTCCTTCCTCAGGAACCACTAACTGCCTTTGCCCTCTGCCTTCAAGAAAAGAACGTGGGGGTATGTTCTCTGAAATAGCAAGCCTGCTTTTGCGCCAAGTATCAGCAACGCTGGTGAGGCGCCAGCATTGCCATCTTCTCATCACCCAGTAATCACAGCAGGACTCCGTGTGAGAGTACAGTGGGAGTCGCAGGTCTTCAAGTTCCTTTTATTCTGTTGATTCGTAGAAGAGAGTTGCAAATCCCTCTAATATATTCACACTGGAAAAAGTGCAGCAACACACACTGGAGACGGGCCAAGAATTACTGCTGTGCTGAGGCAGCTTGCTGAGCTCGACTGTAGAAAATTGACCAACGGAGAAATAATGACAGACCTGAAAAAGGAGGATGGAAGATGACAGGAAGCA